AGAGAGAGAGAGAGAGAGAGAAATTTACTTATCAGTTGTACATTTGGAGTTCTATCCTGTAGAAATAGTAGCATGATATGATGCAACATAGTTAGACTTTCATTGTTACCTTTGGTAAAAGCAAAATAAAGAGAACCAGCTTAAATGACTAGTCATGTAGAAATGGTTGGAAATTGTATTACAAAGTAGTAGCTTTCAGTAAAATAAAATGTCTTTTTCTGGATATGATGGCACACACTTGTAATCCTAGTACTTGAGAGGGAGAGGCAAGAGGGCTTTTTTTTTATTCTTGGTTTGGGCATATGTGCATTAGATTGTCAAATAAAGAAAAATAAAGCTTTGTCCCTATATTATTCAATCAGTTGAGTTCTTTAATAATGGATTATATCCCAATAAATAAGATACAACTGAGAAACATCTACAACAAGCTGTTGACCTCTAATGATGAGAATTTTCAGGATAGTGGATGTCATTGATTTTCACATTATTTGTGTGTCTATAGGTATACATACTTTTAAAAGACATTTTTGTACATGTGTGTATGACTGTATGTATACCATGTGTATACAGTACCTGTGGGATGCCCTGAAAGTGGAGGAAGCTGTGAGCCACTATGCAGGTGCTGGGAACTGAAACCAACTCCTTTGCATGAACATCAAGTGCTTTTTTTCACTGAATCATCTTTTCAGCTCCCCTTTTTATTTGGAAAAAAAATCTTAAAAGAAATAAATTTCTCAATCTATTTATTTATTATTGGTTTTCTAAGACAGGGTTTTTTCATGTAACAGCTCTGGCTGTCCTGGACCATGTTGGCTTCAAACTCACATCTGCCTCTGGAGTGCTGGGATTAAAGGCAGGCACCACCACCATCCTGTAGTAGTATGTGCGGTGGGGCTGCGTCCCCAGCACCCCGGCCGCCTGCTAGCTTATGCCCTGAAATAATTACACGGACACTGTATTCTTTTAAACACTGCTTGGCCCATTAACTCTAGCACTTTACAGGCTAATTCTCATATCCCGATCAACCCATCTCTAATAATCTGTGTAGCATCAGTCTTACTGGGAAAGATTCTAGCCTACGTCCATCCTGGGTCGGAGTTCATTGCGTCTGCCTCAAAGAGCAGAGCTATCGCGTCTGCCCGGGAGAGGGGAGCATGGCGTCTCTGAGCTCACTTCCTCCCAGCTCCTCTTCCTCCCAGCATTCTGTTCTGTTTACTCCTCCCACCTATGTTTTAACCTATCAGGGCCAAGCAGTTTCTTTATTACTTAACCAATGAAACAACAAATAGAAAGATGACCCTCCTCCATCACCATCCAGCAAATATTTTTACTTTTATTTTATTATATTTTAGTTTTGAAAGTGTCTGCTGTAGCCCTGACTGACCTGGAACTTGATATGTAGACAAGGTTGGACTTGACCTCAGAGTACAATGTACTTCTGCTATTACAGGTGTGAGCCACCATGCCCAGCAAGAAAAACATTCATTCTTCACCACCATGTGCTACATATTATTCTGAGAAGCTTTTGATTAAGAACTTATCTCTTTGGGAGGAGGAGAGGGAGTAGGGATTTGGATTGATTTTTTTTTTAAAGTAATAAAAAAGAACTTATCTCTTCATTAAATCTATGAAATAGAACTAGGATATAATAGGAGGGAGAGTTCTTTTTATGTACAATCAGCACTTGCACACACAAACACAAAAGGCATGGAAACTTAGTATTTACTATGTAGCCACTATTGGAGCAAAGGGTTAATTGCATCAACTTTTTGTGTTTATGTTTTGTTTTTTCTTTGTTTTTAATGAGTGAGTTTATATGCATACTCACTCCTATGAGTGTAACTACATATTAGCCAAAGGGCTACATGTGGTGATCAGAACACAACTTCAAGTGTTGGTCCTTGCCTTCCACCATGTTTAAGCTATAAATTATACCTTTTTCTTTTGAATTATATTTTAGGAGTTAAACAAAAGGCAGACTCAGAAGGACTTGGAACATGCTATGCTGCTACGACAGCATGAATCCATGCAAGAACTGGAGTTTCGCCACCTCAACACTATTCAGAAGATGCGCTGTGAGTTGATCAGACTGCAGCATCAAACCGAGCTCACTAACCAGCTGGAATATAATAAGCGAAGGGAACGGGAACTAAGGCGAAAACATGTTATGGAAGTTCGACAACAGCCTAAGAGTTTGAAGGTACTGTTAGTGTAAGCTTCCTGACAAGGTGAATGTCTAGTCATTGGGAGATCAAGTTGACTTAGTCCTTTTCATTCTTTAGCATGCTTGCTTGTTTCCTGTATGGACTGCCTGTTGCTTCAGTTTTTGCTTATATACTTTATATCAAAGAAATAGATTTTTTTACTGTAGGAATTCTTCATCAGTATTTTTTAAATATACACACTCTCTGATGCTGACATTATAGTCTACAGGTCAACACACTAACCTGTTAGTTTCTTTTATTCTAAGTAACTCAGTCTTGAACTCTTAATTTGATGTCAATATGATTTATTTTGGTATTTAGAGACAGACAGGGTCTTTCTATGAAGCTCTGGTTGTCCTGGAACTCACTATGTAGACCGTGCTGGCCTCAAACTCACAGAGCTCTGCCTGCCTCTGCCTCCTCAAGTGCTGAGATTAAAGATGTGTGCCACTACCACCCAGTTGATTTATATAAAATTTAAAAATACCAAAGTGGAGTTGAAGGAATGACTCAGCAACAAAGAGCAGTGGCTGCTATTTCAGAGGACCTAGGTTTGATTCCCAGCACTGATACGGTACTTAATATCCATCTCCATCTCTAGTTCTGGGAACCCAATACTATGGTCTTTCCAGGTACCAGGCATACATGGTGCACATACATTCATGCAGGCAAAACATTCATAATTATAAAATCAAATAATTTTTTAAAAATTTAATGTAAAAGTTTGCTCTCGTCCCTTATCCTACATTCCTAAACCCCACCAAGATTTTTTCTCAAAATATTCATTTGTCCTCCTCAAATGGCACTTAAAAATCCTAAGAAAAATTTCAAATTTCATAATTTATAATGAATATTTGAAGAAATTGAATCAGTCTTTTAAAATATACAAAACAAGCTGAGTGGTAGTGACACACACCTTTAATCCCAGAACTCTGGAGGCAGAGGAGGACAGATTTCTATGAGCCTGGTCTACAAAGTGAGTTCTAGGATTGCCAGGGCTACACAGAGATATCCTGTCTCAAAAAACAATAAACAAACAAGCAAACGAAAAGCACTCACTCTAAGGTTTTCATCAGTGATAGAAGTTCATTTAATCTGTACTTGTTTGCACATTAAAAAAATTTCTATGGGGCTTGAGAGATGGCTCAGTGGTTAAGAGCATTGTCTGCTCTTCCAAAGGTCCTGAGTTCAATTCCCGGCAACCACATGGTGGTTCACAACCATCTGTAATGAGGTCTAGTGCCCTCTTCTGGCCTGTAGACATACATACATACAGACAGAATATTGTATACATAATAAATAAATAAATAAATATTTTTTTTTAATTTATGTCCTGCCGGGTGGTGGTGGTGCACGCCTTTAATCCCGGCACTCCCCGGCACTCGGGAGGCAGAGGCAGGAGGATCTCTGTGAGTTTTAGATCAGCCTGGTCTACAAGAGCCAGTTCCAGGACAGGCTCCAAAACCACAGAGAAACCTTGTCTCGAAAAAACCAAAAAAAAAAAAATTATGTCCTATAAGCTCCAGGTCCCAAAGTATTTGCTGTTGAAAGATTCCTTTTCTGCCAAGTGTGGTACCTCAGCACTCAAGACTTACAGAATAGTTATGTTGATTGCCATTGTTTTAAAAAGTTGAAATTCATGACTTTTTGGACTTTTACACTTATATAATGAAGAAAGAATCATCTTCTCTCTCCACTATATATATAGTTCAGATACCCACCAAAGGTGTTTTTTTTCCTTCCCCCTCTTTTTTTTTCTTGTCATTTTTCAAGATGATGTCTCCTATAGTATAAGCTGGCCCATCGTGTAGCCAAAGATAACCTTGAGTTCCATTGTCTAAAGCTGATGGAATTGCTGGGATGTATGTGCCAACGCTCCATGTTACCAAGTGCTGAGGAATGAACCCAGAGTTTTGTATATGCTGAGCAAGTACTGTACTAAGTGACTCACATTAGTAAGCCCCACCAAAGATGTTTTAAAACAGTATTTGTTTTTGAAATTATGTCTTTAAAACCAATAGTAACCAGAACTGAACCAAACTCACACCTAATTTGTTTTCTGTAGTCATACCATAATTCTGATGTGACTATATTTTCCTAGGGCATGATTCAACTTGAACCCTTTCTTCCTATATATAACCCTTGTAGTTTGAGAGTTTTAGGGAAAAAAAAAATGATTTTCCTGGGCAATACATGAAAGTGAGGAAAATGGTTCACCATCTTACTTCAGACACGAAGTAGAATGCCTTCCTCTGATGACAAATGAATGTAAGATTTCCCTCTTGTATGGAAGAAAAATTCCTCTTAATTTCTCTTATTTGCTTAGTCAGTTTGAACAAAATGTTTGGTTTACCATCAACATATCCTAATAATTTTCTGTCTGCCTGCCTGTCTGTGCCTCTTGTAATCTTCTATGAGCTAGAGGCGAGACTTCAGTTTGGGTACTTACATATGCTGACTAGGATTAGTGAGAGAAGGGTGCTGAACTAACATACCTAACTAACATACCTTATAGTATTTTAGGTTATAGCAGTGGTTTGACATGCCTTTAATCCCAGTAATTGGGAGACAGGCTGAGATCTCTGTGAGTTCAAGGCCAATCTGGTTTACAAAGTAAGTTCCAGGACAGCCAAGATTACACAAAGAAACCCTGTCTCATAAAACTAAAAATAAATAAATAAAATAGAAAAGATAAAGTAAGCCATGTGTACATCCTGTAGTTCTAACACTGGGTAGGCTGAAACAGGAGGATTTCAAGGACAACTTGGTCATCTTAGCGTGATCTTGTTACAAAATAAAACATTTTTAAAAGGGGTTGGAATGTGAATTGATGGTAGTGTGTTTGCTGATGTGTATGATGCCCTGGGTATTGTAGGGCAGGGGGAGTATACTATGATTCTTTTTAGCTTATGGTTTTAAAGAAAAGACAGTTGAAATGAACATTTACTATTGCATACTAAATAATCAGCCTAAAGTTTGATACTTAGATTATTGAGATTATCGGGCTAGAGAGATGGCTCAGCAGTTAAGGGCATTGCACATGGTGGCTCACAATCATCTGTAATGAGGTCTGGTGCCCTTTTCTGACCTATAAGCATACACGCAAACAGAATATTATATACATTATAAATAAATATTTAAAAAAAAA